CATTCGTAAAGTGCAGTCCAATATGCACACTCCTCCCGGAAAATATCAATTCAGTCGCAATAAAAATACATTGTCACGCCCAAAAGGACAATGCAGAGACATTTATACAAACTTCGTATACCTAAGCACAGGCGTTGACTACAGTAAGCATAGTAAGCATCTTACCTTGTAAGAACAGGGGCACCCCGGATACTTTTTTATTCAGAATGGTGCCGCAATAATTCCACATTTCCAAAGACAAAAACGGACTCTCATGTTATGTAGAACCGCAATAAAGCACCTCTACATGAACACGACCAGATTTGATGTACATGTTCCGCTCTGATCATTTAAACCGAGTCGATGCCCACTGGATGCTAATAACGGAGTTGTGCTGTACCGCGTTCTCATGTAACCTCCTCACGATGATGCATCATTGATTCTCAAGGAAATTCAGGTCAAACGAGCTCGAAGGTCACGACAATACGACTGAAATATGCTCGTCAACCAGCGTCTTGTGACGCAGATCCGGAAATTGCACTTATATCTTTTTTCTAAACCAAACGTTCACTACGGTTATCAATTGCAAACAGAAGAAGCTCATTCTGCAGAAAAGTTTTAGGAGCGAAGAGAGTCTTTAATACCTTTTAGAACGACTAAATTATTCCTTCTGCAGTTCGAAAATCATGGTCAAATCAAAACTGAACTACATCTTTGATGTTGACAACCTCTAAACCAGTAGAAGTGCCAGCCATTGGGTCGTCCTTGTTAAATTTCTTCTCGGCAGAGGAAATACACTGCGCCATTTATCAATCTCTCAGGTTACGTTCTCATACGCAAACCTCTACTCGTTCCTGCGTGTGAAATGGCGTGAGTAATGGGGCACTAAAAAACCGTCCGCACTGAAGGGTTGCAGTCTTCCTTGTGAAGCACTGAACCCTAAAGCGATGCACCAGCACATTCACACTTTTTTGTACCTCGTTCGCCAAGTTTTTCCGGCGGAGGCCTCCTGAAGGATAAGCCGCTTCATGCAGGGGGTCAATTTAGATGGTTGGCCGCTTTGCTTGCGGTTGTTTTACAGGCACTGGCCCATCGAGAAGGTTTGTACTAAGGACGCATGATATTGCTTCAGTGACCCCCGTGATTGACAAACACTTCGGGCGGAGTACCAAATTTTGGCCATTCTCAACGTCAGAAAAATGCCTCCCACGTAGCATTTGCTTTAGCATTTGTTCCCGGATATGTGTCCCTAAAGCATCTTGGTTGCGCTCTGATTATTTTTTGTAGTACTGTGGAACCTTTTGGTTGCGCCGAAACGTGAGTATTGGACTTTTAGCATGTTTTATATGAAGTGTTCCTACAGTTACAGAGCAAGATATTTACTGTAGTCGACGCCTGTGCTTGCCTAAAGGCGTTTGAATGCCTGCCTCTCCTCTGCCTTATAAGGCGTGACAAACCCTTTCAATTGCACTACAAAACACTGCAGAGGAGTGGCGCGTTCCATTTGAACATGGGATTTTGAAGGGTGTCCATGTATTCTCACGGCAAAGGGAACGAATATATTCTGATTCACGTTCATGTCCCCTTATATCCGATCGACATCACTACCACTCCAACTCTGCACAGTGCAACAATCACTTCGCCACTCGCTGTCGCCCGAGACTAATTCCACCAAAGTGAAACATGGGCACAGCACATGTCTCTACATCCACAATGCATACAGTATCACAATCGCTTGCATCAGCCCCATCCGATACTTTGCACTGAACCAATGCATACGCTACAGCTGAACTCGCTGAAAAATACTGTGATCCACTGTACTCCCAAACTTCTGCTGCTATGTTGTCTTCTTCCTTCGTATATAAATTATGTGTAGTTCTTCGCGTAAAAGAATCAGCCACTGCCTGTTGTACACTGCTCTCCCTCTGAAGAACTCAATACCCACCGACACCCAAGTTCCATATTCCTTTTTGATAATTTCCTCCAAATGCGCACTGTCCGTCCGGAAACTTTATATCTCCATCATAGTCTTGATCCTGCCTTCATCGAAGAACCTTCTGCAGTAGTTTTTTTCTCAACCTCAACCAATACCCTACACTACCATTCGGGCCCTGCATAGAATATAGGATACACTTTTGTGATCTAGATCTAGCCTTCGCAACATCACCACACGAATGCCTTCTAAAAAAAGAAAAATTAATTACATTCCCTCACACGCCATGCTTACCGTCCAAACAGGGTCAAAAACTCACTCGCTGAAGCATTGTCGTCATCCCTCCTTCCATCCCTACTTGCTTGTCACATTTTCTTCAGTTCCCTCAAGCGATGGTAGACGTATCGTTACGGAACCGCTTGATAAGTGCTAGCAGTACTGTACTACTTTTCCAGACGTAGACCAGAGGGCCATTCGAAGCAATTCCTATCTCTACAGTATGTCTTTCCATGCAGTCTCACCCCCGATAGCTGGAAACAGAAGCGTGATCGTACAACCGTGACAAGCGATGCATGGCATGAAAAGCATGAGTGGTGAACAATGCCCCGATCGGTTCTGCCGTCTGTTCATGTGACATTTCGTTATGTCAGTTGACCGTTCCTATAATTGCTTCGAGTTCACTAAGCCCTTGCTACACGTTCATGTTCGAGAATTGTGGGGACCTTGACCAACATCTTCATTACAAGCAGATCGCACGTTTTCGTTAATATATATATATATATTATTTTGATTACTTTATACTGTATATATATTGTTTTTATTACTTGGTTGTGTAGCCCCCGTTATAGTTCAGGCAAATCGCAGTGCTACATGCATATGCAAATAGAAACAAAACAGTAAATTTCTTCCTCTAGAGTGTTCAGAAAAGTTTATCACTCAAAAATTTCGGCTGTAGCAAAATTTAGAATCAGCAGTGGTAGGGGGGACGAGTGATCTTGCCAAGACTCTCCCGATGCAACTCTTGAGTGAAGTAATTTACACTTGCCCGTGAGAAATTGACATCGCCTTCCCGTCTTACAGATAATAGAAGTTTTCCAAGAACGGAAATGCACCCAGTCTAAATATATCGCAATCCACAAAGAGGACTTCGACTATTATAAAGAGCAGGTTCTGGATATTCTGAATGCCCGACACTGCAGTAATGTGGAACCTTATAATCAACGCACCGGCAGGCATTTCAAAAAGACATGTCACTTTCAAATCCTTCACTGCACAGGTGATATGGATCAGATCAGACATGATTGACCATCGACCGTATGATTAATACTAGGGAATTACTATCCTACACACATATATGCCCCCGCCGATTCCCGGTTTTGAGATGGTGAAGGCTGTAGCGGGTCCCCATCACATGCGCCGTTCATTCTGACAAAAGGTAACCCCCCTTTGACAGGCCAATATGTATGGTATTACGTGGCTATGAAAAATGGTCGGGAGGAACGCAGCAGTTTTTTTTATTCCAGTTGGGCCATTAAAAACCTTCACAACCTAGATTTTGCCAGAGATTCCATGATGGGGGTTTCCGGACGGACAGTATGGGCAATATTTCGCTGCGAATATAGTGCTGCAGTTTCTGGTGTTCATGGAGAACGCAAGGAATAGGATAACAAGGTGCAGGGACGATGTCGAGATTAAGTTTTCTCTCTGTTTACATATATTGAAATTCAGGAACGATCTCCACGGCAAAAAGGTCGGGTTTGTATTGAGATGTGGTACATATGAAGATGGACAGTCTATTTGCTTAGTTGCACGTTAGGCGACATACTCTTAATCAAGATTGATCCGTAGGCTGCAGTGGCTGAAACTACATGCTGTGGAGTCTAGCCTAAACTAAATACTGTGAAGTCAAGCCGACCTGGGTATGCTTTTTCGTTTTAGAGTTATCTTGAACAAATTGACGATAGAGCAAATTCTTGTACAGCATATATAGATTCAATTTTCTGAGTTCAAAGAAGACACTCTTTGCTATGATCCCCAACATGCATGTCGTATAATTGAATCAATCAAACAATAACTAACAAGTGAGTGAGAATTGCTGACCTTCGTTGTGAACAACAAGTACCATGGCGGCGGAGCCACAAAAAAGAATGGTAAGTCGATTATGTTCTGTTGGGATGACTACAACTACGAGATCATGACAATGCACTAATCTCATCTTTCACCTCGAATCTGGAAGAACGTAGTGCGAATCTGAGGACTAGATGTCCAGTTTTAAGAGTTTTGTTAAAAGGGGAGCAGTGAATCAAAACATATCAGGAGACCGTCTTTTTATAGCTACCCCATCTTCAAATCATCTATTATACTGAGAACTGGACGAAGTAAGGCACACCGCAGCCGGAATTTGTGTATCAAGCCCTGAATGAATCGAGATCGGTAATTTATGTACAAATGAACCTCCACTGCACTATGCATACAAGGATATGAATGTCGTCTGCTGATGAAGAGCTTCAAGAGAAGAGCGAAATCTGACATGAGAACCTATCTACCACTGTCTGCTTGTCCGCCAGAAAGGACAGCGATGTGTGCAGGCATTGACAGTCTTTTTCGAACTTCACATTTCTAGAAGTAGACCTCTTAAAAACCAGGACCACCTTTCTTGAGCAACAGTACGGATGTTTAAAGCGCAGAGTTGCACACTCTGTATGTTTTCTATAAAACGTACAATCCCATTGCTTTCCTTACCTGCGCTCCCAATAAACGGTATCTACGAAAGTGAATGATGACGGGGCCTGATTCAGACAAATTCCTTTGGCGAGGGAGCCATCTGCAGTCATATACAGTCACGCAGTATAGGAAGATATATGCTCTGCAGAGTGTGTGACTCAGGGCCTGCTGCTATCGGCTAGTTATTTTTATGGAACCGAAACAGGCGTTCCATGGCATTCACAACACCACGCCACTACTCTTGCCGGAAAGCTCATCCCAAAGTTTCGTACGTTGTTTCAATATCTAAGCTATCATCAGCGGGTTTGCGGACGTGTTCCCCTCATTCGTTTAGTGTTGACAGGCTGCATGGAGGAAGTGCTGGAAGCATTAACGAAAAACTTTATTTTGAAACTACGATGCCGTGTAGCCCGTTTTTGGTCAATCCGGAATTAGTTTTTCCTCTAGGAGGGTGGAAGCAAAGATATGCTCCTCTGTGATGCATGCTTTCAGAGGATGTTAGATAAACCGTAAGAGTTTCCGAGTTCTTCTGTTGAAGCACGGTTTCTATCCCACTTTCGATATGCCATTTGCACACAAATATAGTACGATAGCATATACAGTGTCTTTACAGGTTTTAGTAGACGCACGCATCCCCGAGTCCTGACTAATGAAAGTCTCTCAGTGAGTGTCAGTGTCTTTGACTTGTCCTCGCACAGCACCAAGACACTTCAAGCCTAACCGTTTTCGAATTCATACTCTTGTCAGACCATGTAGAGCCTTGCTTTTAATCTCACGCTTAACAAGGCATGAATCGGCTTTGAGGATGTTCTTCTTTGCATGCTACGAAAACCGGTCGCGCGATCGCTGTCGGAAAGCACTGAGATCAGGTGCATCGATAATATATATATTTTCAGATAGATGTTTGTGGTTTCCATCTCTATTTGGTGTGGTAAAGAGGGTTTCTCGATTTGATGAACGCAAATGGAAATCAAGAGGGTTCAACCTCGTCATGGTATTTGACAATTTGGGATATACGAGCCTTGTTCTGATATGTCTTGAACCGACTGATTTCTATAGTTCTGCAGAAACCAACAATATCTAAACGTGTGGGAAGTTGTTTGCAGATTGTCCGGCATCTCTTGCCATAGATTTGCGAGTCAGTAGCAGATGTCGAAGTGGACACGTGGGTAGCGGCTTCCGTTGAATCTATACTGTGGAGTAGCAGAAGTGGCATTGATGGTGTTAGGAGAGTGGCGGTCAGTGGTTTGTTGGCTTGGCTTCTTTCTTTCTCGCGGCTCTTTGCTGCTTGACGAACAGAGAGTCATCACATGGCCGTTGACTGTAAGGCACATGATTCCCAACCTTCAAATCGAGCACAAAACTTCTTGCAGCTCGGTAAGCCTTGAATGGTTTCCCTGAATCGTTCCAAGTTGAACTATGACCGTCGGCTGATACAAAACGGTCATTCTCCGCAAGCATAGACTCCAAAACGGCCGCCTTTGTGGCGACTGAAGCATAAGATTGCGCTAGAGAAGCGTCAGCTTTTGCGAAAGAATTTCTCTGGATGACCTGATTATTGCTCTTCTTGGCATGACCTGGGGCCTGTCCAGCCTCAAATGATTGCGGGAATGCGACAACGGACGCTGGATAGGCACACGCATACAATAGCAACGGGGTGGGTGACGCCATGCGATACTGGGGCTTTCCATTTGCAAAGGCCCCCGTGCCCATCTTGACGTCGTCCAGCATGCGCTTGACAAGTACTGGGTCTTCGCGCCGCATACCGATATCAAACAAGACTGCAGCCATACAACGGACCTGGTGCCACAAAAAGGCTTGCCCCTGAACAAAAATGTAGCACATATCGTTTTCGCGGAGGTTGTCCGCGACACTAGGTGTGATGGGCGTTTGGTCATTTGCGGAATGAATATCGACGGTGTACATTTGGCGCTCAAAATTGGTGATGTTTTCGTCGATACGACAAAAGTTGCGGAAGTCATGGGTACCTTCAAAGTGCTTTGCGGCCGTTTTCATGGCCATGATGTCCAGGCCGCCGCGCACGAAAAAGTACTTGTACGAGCGATGCGTAGCGTCAAAACGCGCGGAGAAGGCTTGGGAAGGCCGGCGCACATTACTTTGATCAATATCAAGCTTGCCTTCCTTGACGGCCTTCCAGTAGCCAACGATAGGACTCGGGTCTCCATCATATGTCTTTGGCACGGGGGTCAAGCCATCCGGGACCGGAGTCCATGCGAGAACGCGTATTCCCTGGGGTAAATTGCCATTGAGAATCTTGATGTAGTCTAGTTCTTTTTCCCCTGTGCTCGGAGGGGCGACGTTGGAACGCAAGCGGATGCCGATAACTTGCCCTAAGGCCGAAACGCCGACATCGGTGCGGCCGGAGCGGGAGTATTCGCATGTGGCGCGGGATTCGATAAGACGTGTCTTCGTGAGGGCGGCGAAGATGTGGTGCTCGATAGTGTTTTTGCTATCGGCCTGCGCGGAAAAGCCGTGAAAGTTCCAGCCGATGTAGACGAGGTGCAGGGCGACCAGGCGCTGGCCGTAGCGCGACATGTCAAACTCCTTCCGGCGTTTCTTTCGCTTGGGGGTTGGGGTGTCTGTGGTATCTGTAGATTCTGGGGGGACCGGAGGTTGTGGTGAAGACTTGGGAGGAGCTGTGGCGGAGATGGGGACGTGGGTAAGGGTATAGGCAAGGAGCTGTTGGTGGGAGAGGGAACGTAGCTCTCTTTCGGAGAGATAGGGCTTGCGGGTTGACATGGCGCGGGACAGCGTGGTGAAAACGCCACGGAGTGGATTCATTAACGCGAGGGGTGAAGGTGTACAATGGCGGCGATGATGATGTTTTACATCAGGAGGATGTGAGAAGTGGATCAAGGGATTTTGGTTGTGGTCAAGCGAATGTGACGTGGACAAGAACTCCACACGTGTCAAACGACACGTATGAGAAGTGGCAACCGTGTCATGGTAACACGTGGCGCCACGTATGGCGGGTTCGAGAGGAGCAAGTGTGGAATGGAGGACGTTTCAGAACAGATACACGGCATGTGCACGCCCGTCACCTTTCGTTTGAGACACCCCCTGTCGCAGAGGTGTAACACATTTACAAACCGCTTCCAAAGCTACCCACTCGCGGCGCTGCTTTTCCCTTTTTATTGTGACACCACGCCTTCGCCAGCTGCAACAGCCGACGTCGAGCCCCATACGCAAGCGGGCATGAACTCGGGGCGTCGGCGCACGAGCCGAACACGCGGGCGCGGCGGCCGCACGTCGGCGCCGCGTTCCAGCAGCCGGACGGTGACGGTGACCAGGGCGGCGGTCGCGGGCTCGAGCTCGAGCGCGGCGGGGCCGGTGCTCAAGCTGCGGCGGCGGCGGCGCGTACGGTGGAGCTCGGAGACGCACGACAACGAGCACGACGGGAAGAAGAGCTCCAAGAGCTGCTGCGTCTTCCACAAGCCGCGCGCGTGGGACGAAAGCTCGTCGGAGAGCGGCGGGGAGGAGGGAGAGGGGGCGGCGGGCCCGGGGCGCCCCGCGGCCGACCCAGAGGAGGGAAGGGAAGGTGGTGGGGACGACTCTAGTAGCAGTGGTGGGCCGGTGCAGCGCAGGCCGGAACGCAGGGTGCCGTTGGCGGAGGAGATGGATGAAGCGGACGGGTTCTTCGAGTGATGACCCTGTGCAGAGGCAGGGCGTGGCGCGGCGCCAGTTGGCGAGGGCGGATTGGCGGGGGAAATGGAATCAATGGCAGGGTGGCAAATGGCGTGTGACGGGTGGGGATCGGCTCTTCTGCCGAAATTCTGCGAATTCTGCGAAATTCTGCGGCCGGGATTTGCTCCCGCAACTCGCCTCCTCGCTGACTGCCGTTAGCTGACTCCCGATAGACCTCCTCCTCCCAACCGCCTTGTTCTCCATGTCCCCTCGTCTATCTCACTGTGTTGGTTCAAGCATTCGTCTCGCATCAATGACATTGACGTCCTAATCCTTCCCGCACTCACCCCCCTTCCCCTACTCCCCTCCACTATGACAACCCCGAAAGTGCCTTCTCCTGCTTTCCTCGCCTTGCCCGCTTTTCCGTCTCGCCTTCGCTCGCAAACCTCCCGCACCTGCTTGAGACGCCCGAGCCACCCCCTGCGCGTGCCCCCACGATCGGTCGTCCAGGTCGGTTCGGAGCCGTTTCATGCCACCGTTGATCCGTTGGGCGACGCCCGCTTCACGCCTTCGGATGGAGAGACCTTTCACGCGCGTGCCAAGAGCTTGAGTGCCGCGGGCGTTCTGCCGGACCATGTGTCCACCACCTTGTTGCATTGGTATGGTTCCTATCGGAAAGCTGTCGAAAATAACAAGCGCTTCACAGGGGATGCCACCGAGTTCACGGAAAATATGTTTTCTACCTTGCTCGAGCTGGCCCGCCGCGCCATCTGCTCACCCATTGAATTTGGCCCGTACCATGAACGGATACGGCAGCCTTTTGACTACTACAAGTTTGGTTTTGACTTCGCCTCCATGCTGCTAAATCCTGACGACAGTACCGTTCTAGGCCGTGACAGCATCGCGGAGGCTGTCGAGTACGCCCGTCAGGGACACAATATTATCTTTTTGTCCAATCATCAATCGGAGGGCGACCCATATGCAATTGATGCCTTGTTCGCATGGGTTGCTGGGTGTCACCGCACGTTCTGCGAGGAAATCATCTTTATGGCGGGCGATCGCGTCACTAATGATCCTGTCGTGTCTCCATTTTCTGCCGGCCGAAATCTCCTCACGGTTTATTCGAAAAAGCACATCAATGATGTTCCGGAGCTTCGTGAGGAGAAGCTGCTTCACAACCGACGCACCATCGCCACCACTGCAAAGCTTTTTAAACAAGGTGGAAAGGTCCTCTGGTTTGCTCCTTCCGGCGGTCGCGACCGTCGATCTACGGATACTGCCCGAGTCGAGGTATCCAAGTTTGATGAAGGCGCTGTCGATATGATGCGCTTCACCGCCAATAAGTCGGGCGTCCCCTGCCACTTTTATCCAATGTCTCTATGGACGTATGACATGCTTCCACCGCCGACCAGTGTGGGAGGTCCAAACTTCGGCGAGGAGCGCGTCGCTAATCACATTCCCATGCACATGTATGTCGGGAAGGAGATCGACTGGAGTAACGCGGTGGAGGCACAAGACAAAATAGGCCGGCGAGTAGCCCGTTGCAATTACGTGCAGGACATCGTCGTAGATGGATATCGAGCCATTGGGGGGTATGATCGCTAGCCGCCTGCGTGAAGAGCTCGTTATGTTACGTCATGCAATAGCTAGATTCCGCACGCGAACAGCGGCTTTTACTTATGTAAAACACGAAATATGGAATGAAACAGGGCAACGGCCCTTTCATAGATAACAAGTCACAAGTAACTTGGTTGCTGGCAGAGTTCCCGACTTGTGTGCGAGGCTAGTGGAGTCTGTCTTGCTTGCAGAGATGCAAGTCCATAGTCCAACAGCAAGCGGATGGCTAATGTAACTACGTTGGCCTTGTCTTATCACGGGATACTCTTAGCGAATCATTTGTACGGTGGCCGTATATCGATAGAGAGTACACATCATGCATGGGTCGCACCCACGTCCATCTTCCAAGTGATCGAGTACTTCCACGCTTTCTGCTCAACCTCCTTAACTGGAGCCACAGAAAGAAATTAGCACAGCTCCTCGTTTGGTGGCAACCGACTCGTTTGTAGCAAACGACTTGCCAGAGCATGATATGTTCTATGGACCAAGCTTCGCACGCACGCGATCATGAAAGTATTGGTATGTGCAACCTCACATCTTTCTTGCTGGTCACAGCGACCTGACACCAGAGCCACGCTGCGTAGCCCGTTCAGTTATATAGAAAAAGAAGTTATTCGTAACCTCTACGAGAGCTGGATCCCTGGGCGAAGCCGTTCTCGGCGTGCGAAATCCGGTGTATGTTCATTCTTGGCAGCCAGCCACGCTGACTTGTACAGACGTTCTTGGAACGATCGGCGACGCCTATGACGCAACGTGGTTTTCTACTTTTCGCCGCTTTGCGGCTGGATGTGAATCGGGCAATGACTCGAGCACCCCGGGGCCGTTTTTCAGTGCGGCAACTCTGCGATCCTCGAGATCGTACATATCAAGCAGAGCACGGCATATTTCTTCGATGTTATAAAGATCCACGTGAAAGAATTCGTGCCATGCGAGCATTCTTTTTCCATGAACAGGATCCTTTGTGGTGCCATCCGGGAGAGGTTGTCGGTGGAGCTTCGCAGAAAGGAACATTGCAGCGGAGGCGATTTCTTTCGGGTCGTAACTCACATGTAAATAAGTGCGGAAGGAGTCATTAAGGAAATTCCACGCAGCTTGTGTGACCGCCTTCTGCATAGGCCCGTTTCCCAGATACGACTTGGTGAGGGTCCACAGATGTCTATACGGATGGTCGACGTTGAGGTCAAAATTCAAAACGCGCAGCACTTCGCGTTCCTTGTCCAAGATGTTGTTCTTTTCTTCATAATAGCCTGGTGAATTTTCGTGCAGCTCCATGCCGTCTGGGAAGTCCTCAGTGCGCCGTGTTCGGACTTTGACGGTCCAGTAGATAATATCCTTGAGTCGCTTGTGAGTTTCTTGGACCTTGCACGAAAGAAAGAGACAAGCGGCGGCGATGAGGGGTGGAGGATGGACGAGCATGCTCTCGAGCATGTAAAAGCGCTGGAAAAAGGTGATGGCGACGGACACTGTGAGCTGCGGGACCGGGAGTTCACGGCCGCATTCCTGGATGAATCGTGCGGTCTTGGCGACGACCTTGGACTCTACTCGCTCGGGGACGTCCAGCACTCGGGACGGGGTTTCTTTCACCTCCTCCGACGTGAAGAGCCAGGGGTTGTGCTCCGGGGTCTGGACATAGTCGAGATGATAATGCGAGGTCGTCGTGGGCTTGGATCGCCGAGCAGAGTCTTTCGGGGCTTCAGGAAGCGTAGTCATGTTGGCAAGGACTTGAAGGCTTGCAAGCGTAAGGCGGAGAGGCGAGTGGTTGTTTCTGGTTGCAAAAAGCGTTTTCACGGGAAATGGGATGTTTGCTTGCGGTGGTGGTGAAAAGAGACGGGGCCTCGCGTTGTTTGCAGTTCAGTATACGACTTAGGCAGCTTTGCAAGCGAAAACAATTTGGTGGGGCGGTCAGGATAGAAATTGTGTCTTGTAGAAGGGAGGACTGGACGCCATAAGACCGTGATGTGAACAGCAAGCGGGAGGTAGGGGTGCGGCACGTTCTCTTGTACAGACTGCGTCATAAATAAGGCAGTTGCCACACTTGTCCACGACTGATAGAGTGCTGAGCCACAAGTGGGTAGCGCCATGATGGTCTGTAGCTTTGCTTTCTTCAAAAATAAAAAAGAAATACTCTACTGTTATAGTACTGTAGTCGCCGAGCCACACGCAGCTCAACTTGTACACGTACAGTAATTTCCTAGTGTACACGTCTCAGCCAGAGAGGCAGCGTTTTGAAAGTACTGTACGACTCGTTCTGTGAGGCAGTCTCGTTCTTCAAGAAGAGCTCGAAGGCGAATGCTCCGGTAAGGTCAAGGCGTCGTGCCCCAACCGTACGTTTGCTCTTTCGCCATCTTCAAAAGTGCGTGATAGAGTTCGAAGCAGTGGAGACATGACCTTCCCACTTGCTTGGCCTTTGCGAGACGGCACAATCTCCAGAGAACCGCCAGAGTAAAACGTGAGTCCTCCGAGGGCGCCGCCTCTTATTAGACGAAAGAAGGCTCCCGAGTATGCAAGACAAACCTTACAGAGAGAATACTGCAGTTCCGCGACGGATATGGGCACAGAGGACACGTTTCCACGTGTCAATCGTTCTCAACGGAGACACATCATCGACGTGTATGGTCCCGAAACTATTTATTTAGTGCGAGATTCATTACAGGCAAGCTGCGAGTAGGGTTTGGCCCTTTGGTCATTCAGAACACATCGAGAACATACACATTCAGAACCGCATCATTTGCTCACCACCACTTGCTCTCCGGTCTCCTACTCCTCAGTTGTGTGAATCCTTCACTTCGGCCAAGCCCAACCCCAAGACGTTAAAGACTTTCAAGACCCGGGCATCTAGCAGGCAGCAATCAAAGCGATGTCCCCAGCATCCGCCGCCATGGACCTTATCATGGAAAAAGCAAACGAGATATGGTCGATCGCGGAGCAATACATGCCCTCGCCCCTCCCAGTCCCCGGGGCCATCACAAGCGCTGCCGAGTTCCTCAGCGCGAAAGCGACATCGCCTTCGTTCCCGTACACGATCCGCGACGTGAACCTGGGCAGCGTGGTGTTCTGGCAAGCGGGGCTGGTGATTCTGCTGCAGCCAATCATCTGGAACGTGCTGGCGCGACTCGAGCACTATACGCGCATCCTCTCCAAAGCGTTCGGGTCACCCGTGCGCGGGACGTACGCGCTGGGGCTGTGGATCTTTGCGGGCGGCATCTACCGGGACTTGATGTTCGTTGAGGCCATGGACAGGCAGCGGAAAGTGGGGTGGCTGGCGGGCGTGGAGTACCAGGTGGCGGGGCTGGTGGGTATGGCGGTCGGGCTCGTGCTGGTGCTTTCGTCGGCGTATCAACTCGGAGTGGTCGGGACGTATCTCGGGGACTACTTTGGGATTCTTATGGAGAAGAGGGTGACGGGGTTTCCGTTTAATATGTTCTCGGACCCGATGTACGATGGGTCGACGCTGCTTTTTATGGGGAGGGCTATTGTGTACGTATTTTGCAGCGTATCTTGTAACGAATGCGAAGCGGTGATGGGGGTTGCGAGGCGGGAAGACGGTGCTGACGTTTTTTTATGTGGGACATTTTTTTTATGTGGGTGTGATTAGGGCGAGATCGCCAGCCGGAATAGTGCTTTCTGGATGGGTGTACGTAGTGTACAGGTTGGCGTGCATGTTTGAAGGGTAAGTGGCAGAGTTGATAGGCGTTGGTACCGCGGTTGTGATTCAAGCGAGGGATGAAAATTCTAACATGTTGATGAATGATGGGATTTTGTGTGCGATGCAGGCCGTTCACGGCGAAGATATACGCTGAAAGAGAAAGGCAGCAAAGGGAGGAGAAGGAGGAGTGAGGGGGGTCGGTGTGGTGTATGTAATGGGTGATTGTTTTGCATGTGTGCAAAAGAATGCTGCAGGACGGAGAAGAAATGAAGGAGAAGGAGAAGTTTGTTTGTTGGTCGGCTTGTGTACAGTAACATAAGGTGAGATGCAGGACAAGGAAGGGATAGATGATGATGCAAAGCGATGCAAGGTGAAACAGCAGTGCGAGGAGGTGTATAACTCGTGCACACACGCGGTTTACAGGACCTCATTCGTCACAGGGGCTAGAACAGTCCGCGCAACAGCACAGGTATGGTTGCGGGTGGTGGCAGCTCGTAGTATCCGCGCGTCGCGCAGCGGTAGGGCGAACGAGGGGGGGAACGATAGTCGCGAGAGAGGGATGTGGCGCGGCGAAGAAGGAAGGGCACAATGTCCCCCGGGGTCGTAGCCTTGTCTGCCCCCCCCCCGGTGCGCCGACCAATTCTGGTCGGCGCTATTTCAATAAAATTGTAGACCTAAATTATCCGTCGGCAGCGCCGGTCGCCGCCGGCGCTTTAGCCCGCACACGTGGCCTATTACCACGTGGCCCAACTACACACCCCCCGTTGGCATACTTCGGCGCCGTCGACGGCGGGGGGGCGTGCAACTAGGTCTCTCCCGACGCTGCTCCCGTGATCCGCACCGACGTATTCCAACACAAACCCTTATCAATCCCCATCTCCCTTTTCCGCATCGGGTGCACGAACGCCGAGTTATACCGCGTCCCATTTCCTGCCCAGCCGCAACTCCTTGAATCCCTTCCGCAATTACACCTCCAAATCTTCCTCGTGCGCTTTCCCGTCTTGGCGTATTGCAATGCCTCGTGGTGTCTCGTCACGCAGCGCGCCCGTGCAGCAACACCCATCCGGAAGGCAGCTGAATATGAGCCCGAGGGCCACGGTACCGACCGGGAGGGTAGCGACGGGTGCTCAGGCGCAGCGAGGCATCACCACTGTAACATGCAGAGGGAGGAAAGTCTCCTTCGCGAGCTTCACCACCGGACGGTTGGTGTCTACCGTGGACCTTTTCGAGAAGGACACAAGGACTACTGTGGGAGCGCGCGCGTTCTTCGAAGCGCTCCCCATCCCCAGCGACAACGTCGCGGCCCTGTCTGCTTGGGTCGCGGCGAGGCCTACAGCGCGCTTCGGATTGATGCGGCTCCGTCGACTTGGCTTCACCGACGACCTCCGTGCCGCAGACAAGTATTGGAAATCGAGATCGAAGAAGGTGATGGAAACTCATGAAGGCGGTGGCAGGGTAAGGAAATGTGGGGATGTCGGTAAGGAAGGGAAGGCGTATGAGATTCGCCGCGTCGCGTTCAGCTCAGGCCGGGACTCTCGATTCGTTGGAAGAGCGGGCCCCGGGTACTTCGCCTCCGACCTTCTTCGAGGGGGACCGTGTACGTTCTGGCCCATTGCGTTTCACACAATTGAAACGCATCGTCTAGGAGGGGACTCCACCCTGGACGCTGAGCTGGGCAGTGGGATTGAGTCGGACTTGGAAATATTTCCTGGACGGATTGGGCAGCAGGGGTGCTCGGTGGAACTTGTTTACAATCCGGGCCGGCAGGCAGCGTTTCTCGACGCACTCGACGATTGGTGCACGGAGCACCCTGACAGATTTTACACTCTGAGCTGTCCCGGTGATCGTGGTCCGTCAAGGCATGCCGCCTCTCTGCATTCAAGCTTGCCGGTATTGGCAAGGTCCTGTCACGGCCAATGCTTGCGAGCAGCCTTGGCGAACGGCATCCATGCCCTGCAGGGACCCGAAATCGCCCTCAGCATGCTTCAGCGGGGCGTAATGGCTTGTCGGAGCCTGGCAGACGCATCTGCCTGGGTGCAGAACAACATCAAGGTTCTGGGGCTCCGACAAATTAAAGTGGACCGGGGCATGACCGAGGAGGAGTGGTTGCGTTATCAACGGACCGGCATCTACCTCGTCCGGCTTTCTGGAATGAACCGCGATGATGAGGAGGTTGACCACGTTGTTGCATACGACGCAGGCCGTCAGGTTGTCTTCGATTGCGTTGAGCGCTTTGCTCTTCGTGTCAGTTCCCAGATTTTTGACGTGTGCGTCGGGGACGACTCGCAATTCATGGGCATCTCCGAGATGAGGCTCCTCTACGCTCAAGAGGTAGGTGTAGCATATCCCCCTCCCTAAATTATATTTAGATTAGATTTATAACAGTAGAGCCCGAGCTCTACAGTACCTCAGTGCGCGCGCACACGTGTACCCCACGTGTACGGGGGCGCGCGCGCACACACGTGTACAACACGTGCGCTGCCAGCCCCGACGGCTGACAGCACTGCAGTGCAGGCCGACCTGCACTACTGTAATGTTATGATAGGTGACCCTGTACATTAAATATGAGCGGACCGCCGGCGGTGGAGGACGACAAGCACGGACTTGTCAAGGATCCTCCACCTTGGTCCGCCCGCTTACTTTTAGGTACTTCCGTCCGTTTTACCTAGAAGCAGCACCGCGCGCGGGTTGAGGACGCGCGTAGCACGCCCACGAGCCGGCTCCGCCTCCGCCCGTCGGTACTGGAACGTCACCCAGTACCGCTCCGGGGCGTCGAGGCGTAGAACCGCTCGCGCGTGCGCGCGTCCTCCCCGATCCCGCTCTACCACCGCTACCTCGAGCCCGTGCTCGGTACCGTGGGTGGGCCGTGCTTCTGTCTTCCCGCCGATCGGGGTCTTTCCGAACTGTCAGTACTCACCCCCCTCGTCGTTGGGGGTGATTATACTACAGTGGTCTCCCGACCTAGAAGACTCTCACGATCGAACCGAGAAGACTATCGTTTACCTCCGCGTCCGTACGCGTCGAGATGAGTGGCGAATATCCCACCTCGATTCGCTCGGAGCCCGCCGATGTGCGAGAGGCCGCGCTCCGCGTCCGAGTCGGCGACGGCGACGCTGGTCCCCGAGACCGCGAACCGTCGCCCGACTTCTCCGAAGGACGCGCTCGCGCGATGTACGATCGCATCGCGGAGTATATCGAAGATGTCCGAACATCCCTCCGTATCGACGTCTCCGACAGCGTCTACGCCCGCTGTATGGATGAGTTGCGCTCCCTCCGCGAAGGAAGGTTTGAGCGCGTAACTCAGTCCTTGGAGAACCTGCGCGCCCTCGTCGACCAGCTACAGTCCCGTTTGGTACTGGTCGAAGAGGCGCGCATCGATTCCCCCGCCATGGACGTTGCGGGTCAACCCGCGAGTGCGAACTCCGGGGTCCGACGCGACCCGCAACCCTTCCCATCAGCCGAACAGATGGGAGCGTTCGCGCACATGGCGGCGGAGCTCAACTCAACGCGCCGCCGTGCCCGTGAGATGGAACAGACCTCGGCCGAGAGGCCGCCCGGAGCCCCCTCGAGTGGGCCCGGTGCCACTGTTCCTCCGGGCGCATCCGGAGCGCAGGAGTGGCCCCCGACTGGAGCCGTCACCAGTCGGAGGGCGGAGGACATCAAGCCGACGGCGGACGCGAACTTCGCGTCCGAGACTCAGGCCCGGCCGTATGCATCCGGAAGCATGCGGCAGTCCCGACGGGTACCGGACGAACCCGACCGTGGCCGTGGAGGAGTCGCCCGCGGATCAGGGGAACCGATTCTCCCCTTCGATCCTCGCTGGGGCGGCTACCAGCCAGCGGATCTTACCGCGCATCCCGGCCCCGTCGACGTCCGAACGTTGCCCGTCACGCCGTTCGGAACGTTGGGCCCCGCCGAACCCGGGCTCGAGCCCGTCCACACCATGATACAGGAGTTCAGCGCCGTCGCGAACTACCGCATGTATCGGTTGGACAACACCTCGAGGCTCGTTACCTCGGGTGACGCGGGACGGATCGCGAAGTACGTCCAACGCTGCCGTGGGCTCCGTCCCACGATGAAGAGCTTCGACGGTACTGACGCGATTCAGTTGCTCCCGTTCCTGAAGGATATCCGGATAACCTTCAATGCCCAGCACCTGACCGAAGGTGTGGCAATCCGTGTCTTTGCTCACTTCCTCGAGCGCGACGCGGAGCGGTTGTATACGAGTTACACCATGCGCGGCCTCCGCGCCGGCCAGCTCCACGACGACACGAGCTGGCCTGGTCTCGTCAACCAATTTATCAAACGCTACCTAACCGACGACGTGTTGGGGGAAGCGTTTGACGCTGTCGCGTCGGCGCGACAGCTTCCTCACGAAACCGAGAACACGTTCGCAGACCGGCTGGAATCCGCCGCGTTCCGATGCACAGCCGTGTTCTCAGAACAAGCTCTCGCGCACTACTTCGTGCGCGGGCTGTCCACTGCGACCCGGGCCGCAGTGGCAGAGACGATGCAAAGGTTGCCCGGACAACAGAAGACCGAACTCTCAACGATTCGCCGTATCGCAACGGCCGAGGGTACAACCTACCGCGCCCGTCGCGGGTTGCCGCTGCCGGACCCGAAGCCGGCAGCGAAGGGAGTCCGAACTCCAAGGTCGCACGGAACGAGTTCGCCGGCGACCGCCCTCCACATTGGAGAAGATGAGTGGCAGGCCGACCCTGTCCTCATGACGCAAGGCTTCGAACGGGCAGGGGGCCGACCCCCTACGCCAGCTTCCACCGGTTCGACTGGAAGCTTCGCAACGGCGTTCGCACACACGCCGAGGGCCATGGGTGGTCCGAACCACAACATGGCCGAGCTGGATATCTCCCGTCGAGAAGGAGACCGCGGGCTGCCTAACGTGCCTCGACTCACCGATGAGGAGGCACGCCACGCGGCGACTTTCGCGTCGACCGATGGCAGCGCGTACATTTGTTGGCTGTGCCGGACGTACGGCCACGCCATGTACGCGTGCCCGTTCCTGTCGCCTGAACAACGTCAGTTCACGGCGTACAGGAACTACCGCTATCAGATGGAGACGCGCCCCGGAATGCGCAATCTCATCCAGCAGTCTACGCGGGCAGACCGAGGCCCGCGTCGAGGTGACCCGAGCCGATCGGGTGGGGGCGTCCGTTTTGCCCCTCGTGAAGGCGGGTACCGATACCCGGGGACCGATCAAAGGGATCGACGTGACCCTCGTCGGATGGATACGCGATATCCCCGTCGAGATGGGCGAGGCGACCGGGACCGACCCCCGTTGCCCCAAGGGGTACAGAACGCCATCATGTACCTCCAAGACTGGGCTGGTGAGACGCACCCCCAGCTTACGGAAGGAGGCGGAGGGGAGCCCGTTCTCTCCGCCCCTCGAATATTGCAACGGCCGGACGTTGCAATCCAAGGCCACGAAGTATCCGATTACTTCGTAGAAGATGGCCAGTCGGGGTGGGGAAACCGTCCCCATCCGCGCGGCCAGGGGCCCGTCGACGCGCTAGCTAACGATAGCCAAGCGAATAGCACTGACAGCTCGGGTAGTTCGAAAAACCCGTAAAGACGGTTACGTTCGCGCGGTCGCGTGAACCGTCTTGTCAAACCAACCTTGACCCGCCCCTATTTGTCCCCGGCAGGGGAGGGGAATGTTTA